GTTACAGATGATGTCGTCTAATTCATACAGTACTTGTACCAGTGAAACTGTGAACGTTGAAGATGGAAAACATTAATGAAAACATTGCCTATTCTTAGTTGTATATGTTATTTGTTTGATTTTTAATAAATTTATTCATGCTTTATAACGTTTTTTTTCCACTAAAACCCATTATTTTCTTCCACATTGTTAATGTTAAGATATTTCAAGATTGGTTCATTATATAATTTCCTGTTACTAACAAAATTATTAATAATCTGCTATTGGAATAAATAAATGTACAAAAGGTCAGTGCATTTAAACAAATATACAAGTAAACTGTAGGATATCTTCCAAAACCATGAAATCCTGAAGTAAATGGGAAAATAATAATATTCTACAGCAAAAGTTAGACAGTATTTGAAGAAGAGATACGAATTAAAAATAGACTGTAGTGCTAAATAAAAGAGAAACATGAAAAATTCTTGGTTAGACACAAGTAGTAACAAAAAAAGTTTGAAAATACAAACATTAATAGAGATATAATAAAAGTAAAAATGCAAAAAGATGCATAAATATACCAAAAATTAATAAAACATCTGAGCAACAAATTTAAAATTAGAAAAACAGGAATCAAGAATATGAATATATTGAATTATGAAAATTAGGTCAGTACCTTGAAGTATCGAAGCTGAAAAAGCTCAATAGGTCTCCCATTGTCTTCATTGATCTTCCAGTGAATCTCTATTTTGTCTGGATAAGTGCTCAGATTTTCAGGAGGTGAGATGATTGTCGGAGGTGCAGGAGCAGACTCAGCTGGCATTTTCCATAAATTTTCTTCTGTCCACATCCCTAGACCAACAGCATTTTTTACAGCAAATCTGATCATGTACGTTGCACTCGGTTGTAGATTTTCCAGGATATAATGTGAACCTACAAAAAAAAACAAAAAACATTGAGATTGTTGAAAGTGTCACCTAAAATATAGAATATTTTCTAAGATGTATATTGAAATACAATCTTATAAAATTAAGCATTTAGAACAAACCTGTGAAAATCATAACTATACAATCACTTAAGTTTAATTACTATTTTTTGTTATTAGCAATAACATTAAAATAAATTGTACCTAATCAGCAATTAGACTTTGGTATATGAATGTTCCTATAGGCTATAAACCATGACAAATTAGTGTAAGAAAAATTTAAAAAGTCTTAAACTAGTTTGATATACAAGTTAAAGTCACAAATAATTCGGTTTAAGAATCTTGAACTGCTTCCTCCTAAAATTGTTACAAAGGAGAAAAGATATGACTGAAGTTTTAATTATTACCTGCTATCCAATAATTTATTTTAGCATCTTCATGTGGCTCATTCTCTTTCCTGTATTCAACAACATATGCCAATATGGGTAACCCTCCATCATCATTGGGACCAAGAAATTCAAAAGAAATTGTTGTAGTAGTGATATTCTCATACTTCACCTGAAGTAATTTCCCCGGAACAGCTTTGAAAAGAGAAGAAAGGGATTTATTTTAAAATGTACAAAAATCAAATGGATTACTAAACTCACTGCTGTTCCATCATCTCGTTTCAGTTCTAGAACCAATAACAATAGAAATTTTAATTCTGATGTTATTACACAACTAGACATAAGAAGCAACTCTACTGATCAAAAACTATTATGACTGTAGCATTTCAACATTATGCTGTCATCAGTATCCTAAAAGCAAACAAAAACATATCAAAGTATAGATTATTAAAAAATATATATATATAAAATATACAAAAGACTTGTTTACTATACAAATTTTGATTAAACTGAAAAGATTTTGTAGTGTAGTTTTCTGGAATAAAATATTAAGATTGTAATACTGTCAAAATCAACATTTCCAATTTATTTTAAATGTATAGAGAAAGAGGAAGAATTGAACAGTTTTCCCACAAGTCTTCACTGATAATCCTATGTATTCATAAGCTCTTATTTTTAGGTTGTATTTGTTTTTGTCAATATGGTGTAGTATATGAACAAACTATGTATTTTTATCTTTCTATTTTGATATAGTATTATTCTGAACTTATAGTTTATTCTGTATACGTGCAGTTTTAACATTATGTGGACAAGAAAGTTGTTACGTTGATTTTTTTTGCAGCTGCCTTCGTTCTTTTGTTATTCTCTGGAGATAACACCTATCCTGTCCATGATATGAATGGCTGTAATGTTGCATGTTCTGCAAGAATATAGATAGCAGTGTCCTTCAATAGTAAGGTTAGGTGATATCTACAGATTGCAGCCTTTCCTATACTTGAATGAGAATGATCAGTATCTACTGTTCATAAATATATATATATATATATATATATATTGAAGCTGTTTAAAGTTGTAAGTTTTTAACCTGAGCAGTTAGGCTACATGCTTGTGATTAGTTGCCACTGTTGCTATGTACACCTAATGTGATACTTTGAGTTTTTTTGCCCAAATCGCTTTAGTAAACTTGGAATATATTGTAGAAATCAGTTGTGGATCTTGTTAGAGCCTCATGTTTCAATGATTAATTGACAGAAAAGTTGGTTTGTTTCTAATGTTTATTAGAATCATATACCGCAAGATTGTCTTAAAGTTAATTCTGATAAAAGCTTATACAAACTTTACAACAGCTCCTCTTGATCTACACTATTGTAACTTAGAAGTAAACGTTATAGTACAGCATTTCTAGAATAGGTTTATCTTTGTTCATTTTATAAAAATTGAGTAATTTGGCAGTGCAATGTCTTGTTTTATGTTTGTTTTGGACTTTAGCATAGGGCTAGCTGTTTCTTATTTAGAAGTTATAGACTAGAGGAAAGGCAGCTAGCCAACATTACCAACCAGTAATTATAGGGCTACTCTTTTACCAAGGAAAAGTGGGATTAACCATCATATTATAATGCTCCCACAGCCAAAATGGCTACCATGTTCGGTGACAGAAATCGAACTTGTAAACTGCAGATTGCTAGTCGAGCTCCCAAACACCAAACCATGCTAGGTTCCAGTGGGTTGTCAATGTTATTATTATAAATTTTGTTTAATTTCATTGCAGAGGCTATGCAGTTTCATAGGAGTTGTATGTCGCTGTGAGACTATGCCTCATGCAGAACAAAGGAAGCATTAAAGACGCACAGTTAAAGCAGTCTGCATCTAAGTTTCTCAAGATGACCATTGTTTCTTCCAAAAGATATCCCTCTCAGATCTCCCAAAGGAAGAAATGAAGTCAGTTAATATCCTACTGCACATATTATTGCTGAAAAGACATCTTCTATGCACCCTCCATTAGAATCTAATGATGCCTCAAAAAACTTAGGATCTCATTACTGTTGTCGCCACCAAGCTACAATGTAACATCTCGTGTTGGGTTGTCACCACCACCACTAAAATGCAAGAGCATCTCATTTGGGGTTGTCACCAACACCACTAATGTAACAGCATTTCATTTAGGGTTGTCACCACCACCAATGCGGGGTTTTCACCACCACTAATGCAACAGCATCTCATTTGGGGTTGTCACCACCACTAGTGTAACAGCATCTCATGTAGGGCTACCACCAAACTAAAAAACATCATAACCTAATGTAGGGCTGCCACCTGACTACAATGTAACAGCATCTTGTGTAAGACCACCATCACCAACAGTTTCATCTAACACACGCAGGAACCACACCTACCTGCCATGATGCATTCTCTACTTAGATGCTCTTTCACCCCACATCAGAAGAAGTAAAATGATCATTGGTAAAGCAAATCACTATGAGATCAAAATCTCCGAAAATGCAACTTTGCCAATCATCAATATTTTCTAAATATTCATGAGTCATCTAATGACATGAAGAGCATGATAAACTGTCGTTTTTACAAATGAGGGCAGAAACACAACTTTGTAGATGCAGCATGAAGATTTTAGCACCTAGAAGAAGAGTTTACAAAAACAAAAAAAAGCATGCAAAGTACCACTTTCATACTGAGGTTGTTGAGAAGTTGATATGTTTCAATAACCTGCAAGTGAACATTCCAACAATGTTATTCAGGAAATGTACCATGATACAAAAGTTGGCAGGATGATGCTACTTGAGCAGCTGAGAAGCATGAAATATTTAACCCATCCGGGAGTCTGTATTCAAGGGAAAATGTACATTGTTGACAATCTGCTTCAGTTGCTAAAAACTAGAGCAGAGAATGTGCTCAAGCTACATCAGTGGATTGACTTAGAACAGTATCCAAAGCCATGGTATAATCAATGAAGTACTAAAAATGAAAAGAAATGGCATCTTATGTAACAAATTTGTTGAGCTGTTAAGAATCACAGATGAATCAGAGGATGTCAACAAAAAAGAGCAGACTATTTAGGTGCTGTGACAGGTGTCCCAGTCTGAATCAGAGGATTTTACTGAAATGTATCAAGTGAAAAACACAAATGCAGAGATAATAGCCCATGTGTTGCAAGATATTTTGCTGCACTGCAATCTCAAACTGACAGGCTTTAAATGCAAGCATACGACAGTGCAGCTATTGTGTCTGTTGCCTTGAGAGGAGTGAGGATCAAGGGTTCTTTGGCAATCTAACTTTACTGCACAAACTACAACTTGGATTTTGCCCTACAACTTTACACAAAGTAGGGACAGATAATGAGAAATACACTTGACTTTGTTCAAGAACTGTTTATGTCACAGTACAAGCACATAGTAGCAAGTTATGATTATTGTGAAAATTTGTAATTGTTCTGTCTCATGTATTGGAAAATCAGGATGACATCCATCTTTGTCATGCTCGACAGCTACAATACACTGCATGAGACCTTACAATTTATTTCCACTGAGTTCACAAATTAAGCATCTGTGACACAGCTCTGGGATGTCATTTTTTGGTCTGCATTTTGTAAAGAATCTTTTTCTGTGTGTGTAAGCAAGTGGTGTCAAACTTGCAAAAGCCGTAGCGATGACTCAGATCATGAGTGCTTGTATCAGTGCCATGAAGAAAAATCTTAAGTACAAACTAGATGAATTTAACAAGTCTATAAAAAAGTCCAAAACTGGTACTGTCAGAGAGTCAAGTCTTCCCTAACAGAGAAAGTTGCCACAATGGTTCTACCATAGGAATGCAATGGAGAACCTGTTTATCAATGCTCAGCACTGCTACAGGGTTCAGTATTACGAAGCTTGTGTGGGTGAGCTGAATAGCTGTTTGATCAAGCAGCATATCAGGTGTTTGCTGACATAAGGGCTAATGTTATTCAAGCTGCCAATGCCAAGGATGTCTCCATGAATGACAGTGTATAAAACTTGTACATGGTCTACCTGGACTTAAATGAAATTGTTTAGAGAATTAATTTCTCAAATGCTGCCTGAAGAGTCATATCTTTGGACACCATTGTGGAGTTACATAGAGAATCCAGCAGTAAGAGTTGCTGTTGAAAACATTCATCACCTGACGTAGATCTGCATCTTCACCATAATGAATACAGCATGTGGTGAGCAGTCATTCTAAGTCCAGAACAAAGGAATGAATTTAACTTTTATCTGTACACAAAAAAGGATACTCATTCCTTCATGACTAGAAAAATTGTATGTACCTTTCGTATTTTAAGTTAGTCTTACCATGCGGGTATATTCATTATTTTTCATCATTACTACAGAAAATGAATGAACATTTTGGTCCATAACAAACTTATTGATCTAGTGTACACCTTTAGAAAAATATGGCATATTTATAAATGGTGCTCCCATCATTGTTGCACCCTCCTACAATTACCCCCCCCCTCCCCCCCCCCC